ATGAAGATTTTTTAACTTTGTTTTTTAATTTGTTTTTTTTAAGTATAAATTAAGTATATATTTATTATATATTTTTATTATTGATTTATATAAAAACTAATTAAGAAATTAAATTTTATTTCTAACTTTAATGCTACACAATATAATTTAATTGGATAATTAATAAAATTAAAGTTAATTTTTATTTTTTATGCAAATTAATAGTAATAGGTAAATATATTTTTAACCTATATTTTTAGAATATAGGTTAGAAAATTTCTTAAAAGAATAAGTAAAAAAATATTTAATAATAGTTTTTCTAACTTAGGTGTAATTAATGCTCCTTTTAATAATTAATTTATATGAAAAAGTTACTTCATGTAATTTTGTAGTTTTCAATTTCTCTTTCTTTAATTTTTTTTTAAAAATTTTAAATTTACAATTATTTTCTCGAAATTTTTAGATTGAAATAATTTTCATGAGTTAAAAAAGATATTATTTAGTTGTGAAACCATCCTACACTACAAAGAATAGGGGTGTTCGCGGAGTGATTTGGTTCGAATTTTATTATTTTTTAAATTAATCCAATTTAATTGGTTAATAAAAATTTTAAACCAATCTAATCCATTATTATGTGATAACCAAATCAATCCAATTTAAATCGGATCGCTGTGGTTCGGTCGAATTGATCAGTTTTTAACATTATTAAATATATAAAATAATGTAAAAATATTTTAACATCAAATAGAAAATATAACTATAAAATACATTAACATCCAAATCAGTAAAAATATAATAATAGGTAAAAATTATAACAAATTCTTATACTCCTTTACATTTGTAAAAATTGAAAAACTCTGAAAATTCTTTTTGGTTACATTATAAGAGGCACCAAAAACAATAAAAAATAACTTTAAATTTTTAGCATAACGTAAATAATTTTTGAAAATTAAAATTAGTTTTTTTTCTTAATGCACTAATAATTTAATCTCATTTTCTAAATCATGTTAAAAGTGAATAATATTTAACATGAATATTACTAAAATTGATTAGAAGCATTTATAATTAAAATTTAAAAAGACTAAACCAAATATTCAAAAATAGTAAAATATTAAGACTAATTTTATTATATAGTTTTAAAGCTTTTAGAATGATATTTATTTAAAATTTAGTTAGGAGAATCATAAGATTATTTTAAAAATAAATTAAAAATTTAGGGTTTTAAGAATAAAGGCGCAAACCAGTTCTGAAATAATAGAGTTGCAAGTGAATTGAAAATTTAAAATTAAGGTTAGAGTGTATGATTAAAATTGAAAAATAACTTAAGGAATATGAAGATATTCTATTTTTATTTTTTTAATTAAGTTAATGGAGTTATAATCTTGTAAAAAAAGAAAAAAAAAATTTAAAATATTACAAAAGATATGTTATATTATTTAATTAAATTATCTTCTAATCAAATTTTATTTTGTAATCGGACAGTTCAGGCGGTTTGAATGTAAAATTACGAACCAAACCAATTATATCGGTTTTAAAATTTTAGAATTTAAACCAATTCAATTTTATATCGGTTTAGATCAGTTTTTAATTGAATTGGATTAGTTTAGGTCGAATCAATCGAATTGGATCGGATATGAACACCCTAACAAAGGGTTTTGAATTCTAGTTTGCTTGAGAAAGTGACCATTGAGATTTAATGAATTCAATTGATTTTCATTGAAAATAATTAAGTTTTAATGTATGAAAAAAATTACAATAATTAAATCTTACTAGAATATTTAAGAAAACTATAAAACATTAATGGTTTAACATGAGAGGCCATGTCAGACTTCAATGGGTCACATTGCGTTTCAAATAAGCTGCGGAATCCATTCAAACTAGAGATCGTTAGTTTTTAACGTAATATTGACATAGTCATTAAACAAGAGCCGATTTGCTACCGTTCATTAGTTTAAGGGGTTGTTTGCTACTGATTTCAGTTGAGGGGCTTTTTAGCGACCTCTTGAACATTTTAAGGGCTAATTTGCATGATTCGCCTTTTTTGAGAAGGCAGGGAAATCTCCCAAAGAAACGCAGGTAATGCCTATGTCAGAAGGCCCAAATTATTGATGTCATTACCTGCATTTTTTATCAAACGCAAGGCCTATTTTTGGTATTTGCCTAAATATAGGAAAAGGTTTTCTTTTCTTTTTCTCTTTTTTTTTAACTTTTTTTTTTCGCTTTTCACTACTTTTTGGTTACCAAAACATCGCCGTCGAAACCGTTTCTGTTCTCCTCAACTGAGAATTCCGAGAATCCACCACCACTGCCACCAATTGGTGGCGGCGACATGGTCTCAAGAAGCAGCTGAGATTTGAACATGTCATCTCCAGAGCTATATATGATTGACTGCTGAATACTGGTAGCGAGTCACAGACCGAGTCCTTGACTGAGCCAGCGTCGAAGTTGAAGAACGAGTCGAATCGCTCAGACGGAAGGCGTGGATCATAGCCAATGTAGCAATCACCATCGAAGGGACGAGACGCCATTGTTTTCTGCTTCTATCTTCCCCTCCGACACCCACCGTTTGCTACAATTACAGCGACTCTCATATCCACCAAACGAAATCCATGATGTGATAATACTCGATAATGACAGCAACAAATTGAGTTGAAGGATAATCAAAATGAAATAAAAAATGAAGATAATCGGAATCGAAATCGAAATCAGAATCATAATCAGAAATGAGCTCGTGAAGAAATTGTTGGAGGAAATGAAAATTAATGTTTGGGGAAAATGCATTCTAGAACTCAACCATAAATTGTTTTCTAGTTCCTTGCCTTGCTTTTTCATTAGATTTAGTGCTTTCAACCCGCTTTTGTTAATTAATTCCCTGCATTTAATAAATAAACTGCAAGAATCCACCTGTGTTTTGCCAAATGCCACTAAAGTATTGTCAGTAAAAACCAAAAAAGAATAGCTGGCTGGAGTTTGGTACAAACGCAAAAAATAAAATGCAGGCAAGTAGCATTTTTCTTGCAGTGAGTTGATCCGGTACTTGAGTAATACGAAGTCTACGGAGTGTTTGGAATGATTAACACTAAAACGTACACATTTCCGTCGACGTGTAGTTCGATTACTGTGCTCTGGTGTATGCGCACCCATACCAACGCAGCTCCTGCTGCAGGTGCGTGTGTATACGTATGTTATTAGTTAGCAATATATATTTGCAGACTATTGCCATACCACTGACCCAATCGCAATTACCATTACTGCTTCGGGCCTGCCGCGCCACAGTAGTACTGCGCCCATCCCTAATTGTACACATCTCCCTAGCGCCACTTATTGTGAAACAGATGGAGTAATATTCACTTAAAATAAGAAATTTCACCACTATTAATGACACTCGTTCCAATTTCCTGCATTCGAATTCCAGTTCTAAAATTTCTCGTCTTCAAGATTGAACACAAAGAACCCTGACATTCTTGTTATTTTTCATGTATTATAAGGATGAGTTTGAACTAGCCCTCTGGTATATATTGAGATAAAATCTGTAACTTGCATGACACAGAGATTGTCGGTCCAGTCACTGCACCTAGCGTGTCACCCTTTAAGCTGCAAGTGATGGATAGGGTTTTTCTTCTCATCTCCCAAAAAATAAATAAATAAATAAATAAAGGATAAACTGGTTAATAAAGTACTCCAGTTTTAGTGTTCATCTCATTATCTGTGTGGAATTTTTTCTTTTACTGAACGTTCTTCTACATTGTTGACTACAGTTCGCTGGAAGCAGCATAATGGTAAGAGACTAACCTCTGCAAAAACAGAAGCAATTTGGGGATTTTTTTCGTTCCTATTCCCAGTGGTGGACAGACTTGAATGTACAAGTTTTTTGTAATTGTTTACTACAGGCCCCAAACTTTGGCCCTTAAAAACGGCCCAAAACTCTGCTTCTGCCCCGAGTACCAGTAGCCTAGCCGAAAAACTGAAAATTCTCCGCAAATTTCATTCTTGATGTTGATGGTGTAATTGGGCACATATGATAACCTTATCCACCAATGCCAAATCGAGAAGGTGCCACGTGGGACAGAAATTTCATCCTGTCCGTAGATCTCAATTTTCCACCTCTCATTACATCCCTCCCGCTCAAAAACAAACTCATGCGCAACACCTCAATCCTAAAAATTCAAAAGAAGCTGTTGCGTGTTGTAGAATAGAGAAGGCAAAAATGGCTTCAACCTTAGCTGTTTCAATGGCTGTGCCATTGACTCACTCCAGCCAAAGGAGGGTGCCAAGCTCTGACGCCTTCTTCAAGCCGCTGCCCATTAGGCCATCCAAGGCGGCTGCCGCCTGTACAAGATCTGGCAGGAGGTTTGAAGTCAAGGCATCTTCGCTCAAGGAAAAGGCGGTAACCGGCTTGACAGCAGCCTCACTGACGGCTTCCATGGTCATCCCCAAGGTGGCTGAGGCGGCACAATCCGGGATTTCTCCATCTCTCAAGAACTTCTTGCTCAGCACTGTTGCTGGTGGTGTTGTGCTCGGAGTAATTGTTGGGGCGGTAATTAGTGTTGCCAACTTTGACCCCGTTAAGCGGACCTGATCTTTTTAATTTTTTGTACCTGTTCTATGTCTCTGTTTCAAGTTCTAAGAAATGAACTTTGCCTTCTATGCGTAATGCAATGCTCAGATAGTAGATGTAAATCGAATCCCTAATTATTCCAATCGGTACCCAAGGAAGAAAACCTCCCAGCACTCCAGCTAAAAAATACCTAGAAAATGAAACTCCATAAAGTATTCAATTCTTTAGGTATTACGTGCTTCTCAATCCAGAGTCAAATGAAACAATCAACTGAAGTAATATCATTGACTTACCTTCAACTAAGTAGTAATTCCCACATAAAAGAATTAGCAATTCATAGCAAAAAAAGTACATCGAACCACAACACATCGTTTTGATAGCGATGGATCCGAAATTGAAACGGAGCGGGCCTTCTTTCCGCGTAGCTCGAATTCTTTCTTCTTATTTCTTTTTCCCCGAAAAACTGTCTTTTTCTTAACGTTTGTTGCTTAATGAAAGTAACATTCTCACGTTCAATATATTCTTATTGACTAATATAACTTATTTTTGAACAAGAAGAGGCTTTTCTCTCGTTTTTCTTCCTTTTTTTTTTTTTTTT